GGGTGGTGGTTGATGAGAAGCATAACATGAGCCAGCACTGTGCACTTGCTGCCCAGAAAGCCAACTGTATCCTGGGCTGCATCAAAAGAAGCATTATCAGCAGGTCGAAGGAGGTGATCCTGCCCCTCTACTCTGCTCTCGTGAGACCCCACTTGGAATGTTCTGTACAGTTCTAGTGTCCTTAACATAAAAAGGACATGGAGCTGCTGGAGCAAGTCCAGAGAAGGGCTGGAGTACCTCCTGTATGAAGATAGGCTGAGAAAGTTGGGGCTGTTGAGCCTGGAGAAGAGAAGACTGCATGGAGACCTCATAGCAGCCTTCCAGTATCTGAAGGGGACCTACAGGGATGCCTGGGAGGGACTCTTTATTAGAGACTGTAGTGGTAGGACAAGGGGGAATGGATTCAAACTTAAACAGGGGAAATTTAGATTAGATATAAGGAAGAAGTTTGTTACTGTGAGGGTGGTGAGGCATTGGAATGGGTTGCCCACGGAAGCTGTGAATGCTCCAACCCTGGCAGTGTTCAAGGCCAGGTTGGACAGAGCCTTGGGCGACATGGTTTAGTTCAAGGTGTCCCTGCTCATGGCAGATGGGTTGGAACTTGATGATCTTAAGGTCCTTTCCAACACAAACTGTTCTGTGATTCTATGATTCTATAAGACAGAGACAGGGAATAAATCCCCACTCCATCTTTCCTTTTTTTTCCTATTGACCCTTTTCACAAAGTCACATAGATCAGAGCTTAGTCTTGAAAATAAATGAGTGGCGTACATGATATCTGACTATAGGAGAACAATCCCGCTGCCTCACCATAGACATATAATGGCTATTTTGGATATCCCGTAGTGTCCTGCCTGGCTTTCAGCAGCCTTTCCAAAAAATCATGTCAGCATTGTGTATTCTTGCCAGTCCATTGCATATGCCTTATATATAGATCATCTTTAACAGCACAAAGTGTTTATATTTAAGTACTGGACTTAACCTTTGGCTGTCTGAAGTGTAGATGTTTACATCAAATCTGTATTCTCTGGATGCCTTTCAGAGTCAATGGAGAGAAATGGACATTTAGTTGATCCCTGTTTTAGGTAGCCACTTGAGAATGAGATCTTTGATGGCTTGGAGGCACTGACTATACAGATTAAATCTTTTTTGCTCTCTGGTGACCAGTTGTAGTAGTAAAAATCCGTAGGTGCCTATTATAGAACTGGGTCATTAAAAATACCATTGAACTTTTAAGATGCCATTAAAGTCTTCTGTGGATAACCAGAGAAGTAGTACCCACAGTAGTACTGTGGGTTTTGCTTTGGTCATATACCAAAAAAGAGGGAGGATGTGTCCTGCAGTTTGCTTCAGCAATGTCACATTCACAAATGTTCTTGACATAGGGGACATCAGCAGAAATTGCACTGAAGATGGCTGGTCTGAACCTTTTCCTCATTATTATGACGCCTGTGGCTTTGATGAAAATGAAACAGAGTCTGATAACCAGGTGGGAATTAATCTTATAATAAAAAACAAATGAAGGGGCAGGGCGGGGAAAACAACAGGCTGCTTTTTGTCCAGCCTATAGTCATGTTCTGATTTGATGGTGATTAGAATGAAACAATCAGGTATTCATAAGCATGAAAATGTGAGAAGCAAGATTCTTCCTATCTGTGTATTTCCATAATATGAGTGTTTACTGTTGATACAGCTTTTAACTTCTAGAAGCATGGATTAGCCTCCAGTTCCTCCCTATTGCCTGAAGAATCCCTTAGCCAACTACTTTTTTTTCTGAAGACACATGCTGAGTAGTCAAAGAAATGTAGACATCCTTTGCTAGCTCACTGCCAAATAAGCTTCAAGGTATGCAGACCCAAGGGCATGCCAGACATAGAGCAAGGCTCTAATATGAAATGAGATCCCAGGGGAACCACAAGAGGAGAAAACAACCAGGCTATTCAAGAAACAAATCCTGCCTATAGTTCCCCCTGCACGTTGACAGGATAAAGAAGATGTGACCATAGATGAACTGTTTAACCGTGTGTTGTTTGCCTCCCAAGGATTACTACTATCTATCTGTGAAGGCTCTGTATACGGTGGGATACAGCACTTCTCTTGTTTCCCTCACCACCGCCATGGTTATCCTGTGTCGTTTCAGGTGAGTCAGGACATAACCCATGAGCTGTTCAGTCACTGGAGGAAAGAAACTGGAGTTCATCTGCCCAAAACAGTGGGCAAATAAGCTTTTATCCCACCAGATGCAGAATAGGAGGGAGACAACCTAATAGAGCTGTTACCCCAGCTTGAACATACTCCAGTAGTCACATTTCATTAGACTGTAAATGCGACCTCAGAAGCTGCATTGGACTGGCTATATTTTATGCTAACCTGCATGCTTTTACAGGAAAATCTCCAAATACTCCTCTTGGTCAGGTTTAGTAGCAGTACTGTCCACACTTCTGCTTTTCAGATGTTGCTATTCTTAGTGCCAGTGTGCATTGGCCATGTGTGCAGATTGGCCTAGTGTGCTATTTCCATGAAAGAAAAACATTTTCTTTTTTCCCCTCCCTCTTCTTTTCCTCTCCCTTGTTCTTTCTACTCTAGGAAGCTTCACTGTACTCGAAATTTTATCCACATGAATCTCTTTGTTTCATTCATCCTTCGTGCAATATCTGTATTCATTAAAGATGGTGTTCTTTATGCTGAACAGGATGGCAACCACTGTTTCATCTCAACGGTAAGTAAAACCAAAGCCAAAGCCTTTTCCTTTATTTTTTCAGCATGAGGTAACAAAAAATAGAGAGGCAGGCAGCAGTCTGCTGGGTATCATAAGCTGAGAAGCGATTGGGAGAAAAGGTAATTAGTGGTAAATTTCCCTCCTGGTTTACAGCAAAACTATGGATTTTATTGTCTCATGATGTCATCAGCATCCAGCATTCCATCCTTCAGAACAAATCTACAGGTTTTGATTTCTGATTGTACTCAGGTTTGCTTCTCCTTTTCACAGATCTATATAGTAATAGGTAGAATGAGAGCAGACACAAGTAGTTTCATTCAACTGAAGGTCTGTTTTTTCTCCAGAGCCTTATTTGTTCTGGATGTCAGCCAGTCATATGTAACTAGGGTGACCAGTCAGTCATAGAAAATACTCCTGATGGTCACACTCTCAAAAAATCATTAGTATTAGCTATGTGTTTGTCTCTAAAATGAGTGGTTTCGTGGAAGGCAGTCTCCTTCTCAGATGCATTTAGCTATATATTACATGTAAATTCCAATTCCTTTCACATTTAAGGCTAGCATTTGACTTGATAAGTCAGCTCATTGGGTGTAATTATGATGAAATTGCAGTGAATTCCCAAACTATCTCCTTTATCCATCCAGTTATGAGCTAAATTCCCTATGAGTCATTTCCACAAGGGAAGTGCAGCTGTGTACTTTCTTAGTCAGCCTTTTCTTTGTCATTGAAACTAGTTTTTGCTTTTAATTCTTCTCCATGATAAAGCTGAAGCTCTGTCAGATCTGTAGTTTCTTCATACTGCTTTTCTAATAGTGGCATCTGCTTTTTTGTTCTGAAACACATGAAGCATAAAACACATTAAAATAAGCCATCTAATGACCACATCTTCAGCCATGGTACAGCTTCCATGAAGAAACTCAAGATCTGATGATTTAAACATGTTGGTTGTAGCTTTGGCCCAGAGGATGAAGTGCAAGTGACAACCAGTCAAAATTGTTAGCCTCCCACTGCCCCAGCCAGGAGCTTCCAGTTTATACACTGATTCTGCTATGATTTATTGAAAAGTCCTACTTTCATAGGACTAATGACGTCTCACTGGGATGCAGCACTGGAAAGGCAAGTGTGTCCTACTCTCACAGAGTCAGGGTGGAGCTCAGTTTTCATCTGAGACTTCCATCACTGGAACATAGAATCACAGAAACATGTAGATTGGAAAAGACTTTTAAGATCATTAGGTCCAACCATTAACCTAGTACTGCCAAGTCCACCACTAAACCATGCCCAAAGTGTCACATGTACACGTTTTAACTACCTGCAGGCATGGTCACTCAACCACTTCTCTGGGCAGCCTGTTCCAAAGCTTGACAACCCTTTCAGTGAATAAATTTTTCCTAATATCCAGTCCAAACCTTCCCTGGCACAAATTGAAGCCATTTCCTCTTGTCCTATCACTTGTTACTTGGAAAAGAAACCAACCCCCACCTTGCTACAACCTCCTTTCAGATAATTGTATAGAGAGGTGACGTTGTCTCCCCTGAGCCTCCTTTTCTCCAGGCCAAACAGCCCAGTTCCTTCTTCTTCTTTTTTTTTTTTTTCCTTTTCTCTGCTGCTTTCCCCCCACAGTAAACGAATGAAAGCTTCTGTCATTTTTTTTACAGTAAATCACTCTGCTTTCTTTACATTTATTCTAATACTTTCATTCTCTGTCCCTGAGTGACAACACCCTCAAATGGCAAGGAAATTCAGTTCTCAACTACACACAGGAGGATGCATCCTTTCTGATCCCACTCTCAGGGCTTTCCACAATCATCCTGCCATTTCACATCCTTCCTTAGGTTTCTTAATACACAACTGGATTCTTCTCTGCACTTAATCCTCGGAAGGGGGCTTAAACCTAACAATTAGCATTCGTTGACAATGTGAACTCCCACTAACGCAAGATGTTCTCAAGCTGTCTGCAAACACTAGTCAACCATCTCCTACTGCTAAAATTGGCTACCTGCCCTTTCCAGCTTTGCTCTCTAAATGGCACCTCACATTCTTCTCGTGCTTTTTAAACTTTAATATTAAAAGTATATAATATTAGTCCCAGCTGTGATCCTTTCCCCTAAGAGATTTGGAGAGGTTGAAAGCATTTTTTGTGTCTGTTATATAGAAGCAACATGGAAATAACTTTGGGTTTTTTTGATTCTCTGCAGGTGGAATGCAAAGCAGTGATGGTGTTCTTTCACTACTGTGTCATGTCCAACTACTTCTGGCTTTTCATTGAGGGATTGTACCTTTTCACTTTATTGGTAGAAACCTTTTTTCCAGAAAGGAGATATTTCTATTGGTACACTATTATTGGCTGGGGTATGTGACATTTCTTGTCTAAAATGTGTCTCAATGTGCAAGACAACTCCATGAGCCATCTAATATTTCCACACGTAGTTTCAAAATATACTTTTAATCTTTATATAGAAGTACCACTACAGACCAAACCATCCGGCATTTTTTTTTGTCTGAATAGAATTGAATTGAAATCTGGAGGACACTACATGTCTTGCAGAGATGTAGTTCACAACTGGTAATTTCCTTCTACAAGATATGATCTTGATGCCAAATTCTTCATCTTAATCAAACCTGCAATGCTAAATCTAGTCCATTTTCTAAAACTTAATCTGTGCCTTTTTTCCAGATAATAGGTAAATTGAAAATATATCCAAAGGGTATCCACATATGCTCATCCTACCTGGATGGGAAATTGAAGCTTGCAGTGTGAAGAAACGAGATTTGTTTCAGAAAGGCCAGCTGCACGATGATAACCAGTGTAATTATTTTTCATTCTGCCCTTCTGCAGATAAATTGATTCCTGCAACATGTTAAGTCTAACAGTTCTTTGCTGACATTTCTGTGCAGAAGTCAAATGATGAATGTAGAATACATTCATTTTAAATGTAACCTAAGAAGGTTACACTTATTTTTTATACTTAAACATATGTCTGAAATAATCTGGAAATAATCCTGTATACTTATGTGTAAAGTCTACATACAAACCACATGCCTTAAACTTCCAGACTCTGGATGCAAGTCATGTAGGGCAAAAGCAGCCCCTCAGCTCAGAGCTCATGGGGAAGGATTTGTATGGGAGCAGCATTAAGCAAGAGCTTAGAATTTTGCAGCATCTGGGTGTTTATTTCTTAAAATGTGCTGAGCACATCTGTGTCCTCATTTGATTAATGAGAACTACATATGGCTGTGTTGATCCAGACAACTTTTTCCTCTTAAATATGCAATATGCTTGTAAGTTCTCTGGATAGACTGCTGTCTTCCTGAGATCTCTACTAATGCCTGCTCCTTACTCAGGCCAGAAGCATAGTCAACAAGAATAGCTCTCTACTCAGCCTTGGGGCTTCCTGTTTTCTAATGATACTCAGAAGCAGAAAAGAAGGTGATGAAGATATATATCTATATTTTGATGTAAAGAAAATTAATGTGAGTGTATGTATATTTATATAGCAAATGGTTTAGAACTCCAAACTGATCTAAAATGTGCTTTTTGAACTATATTTTTATGACACATTTAGTCTAGCTCTGCCTCCTTCCCATCTTTCAGACTTGCAACACTATTCATACCATTAAAAAATATATAGTGCAAATCAGTGCAAACTAGATAGCACGAGGCCCAGGTTTAACATTTAAACACTGTTTTTATTGTCATGCATCTGTTAAGTGCACAAAGATCTCAATGTTTTCTAGGTAGTCTCGTAAGAAAAGCAGACTTCAATTTAAATTGAATATGCATGATTTCTTCTTCCCAAAGCCTGTCATTTTATTTCTTTCTATCATTTTCCTTTCAGATATTTCTCTGTGTGTTTTTTTAAAGGAGGAGGGCTTTATCAGTCACCTAGGTCTAACAAGGGTATTTTTATTTCTGATAGTGGGAATATGAGATTTGACAGAGACTCACTTAAGTGGGTTCAGTTGAATGACTAATTAATGTGACATGGAATAGATCAACACAGCCTTGCAAAATGTATGAAACATAATTGTTCCTGTCAGCTTACGACAGCCTTGTTCACTGCTGCAGGCTGGGGTTTTCAAGGTCTTAGTTTTGTTTGCTTTTTAGCACTTTATCTTCAGAGTGGTGCCTGAATAGATGTAGGCAGTTTTGTAGCCAAAGATTTCTTTTCCATAAAATGTAGATCCAACTTACTCTGAGCTGTTTTTCAAGACTGCATTATTTTATAAAAATATTTCCACTGGAAACTGCACTTCTAGTGTTTCAGAAAGGAAAATATGTCCAGGTTTCTCACTGGATTCTTACTGTTTTGAGTTAATTTCTATTTATACATTCATCTTTTAAAGAGTAAAGAAATGTCTGAAGTAGAAATTAAATTCTTGCTCCCAGTATTCTCTTTTGGGTGTTTGTTTTGCCTTTTTTTCCCTGAAAAAGAAATATTCCTGTGAGGAAAGAAAAACTATCCTCTACTGATTTGTTTTGGTTGAATAAGCAGAGCAAAATCATTTATTTACACAACACCAGAGAAAATGCAATATATGCAAAGTATTTACAACAGAATCACATAAGAATACAAAGAATACAATAATGCCATTACAGCTTAACATCTGCCACTCTGCGATTATTGCATAATTACAGTAACTCTTGACATAGAAGCTGATGTCACTGCTTTTATTTTGTACAGACTATGTTTTACTGTTCATGCAATGAGATGCAGTACAACAGCTTTGAGCAATAATGACCTGAAAAAACATAATTCTTTCCTGTTATCAGTTTTTCTTCTGCTATCCCACCAAAACCAACCCATCCTTTGACTGAGACAGATGTTTCTAAAGCTCTGAATTATTGTAATGAATTTCATTTTTTCATGTACTACTGCTATTAGAAATAAAATGTCAGTGGAGAGGTTGCAAAAAGTGCTCTTTGCTGGATATTAAATATGTCTAGACTGCTAATGATACCACCATCTTATCTTCTGCAGGTACCCCAACAATTTGTGTCACTGTCTGGGCAGTGCTGAGGCTTCACTTTGATGATACTGGGTAGGTATTGCTGAGTGGGAAATCGTTTCACGTGCATTCAGCATGATGGCAAGGATGAAACAGAAATCAGTCATTTAGTGATCAGAGGACATGGCTAATTTCTTCTTCCACTTCTGACACTGGTTTGTGTATGCAAACAATTTAGGTCCAGTGTTCAACCAAGAGTACTTACTTTCCTGTTCATCTGCATAAATAGCCATAGTTTCATATTTATACTCCTATTGGACTGGTGAATTCATAGAAAATATAGGCACCTACCCTGCAGACATGCAACTGACCCAGTGGTCCTCCATTCCCTGCTCAGTTAGATTAGTGGAGCCCAGGATATTGTTTATCTCAAGAGAGCTGTCAGGTGATTCACACTTCTGCTTGTCTGCTCCTTTCCAACTTATTATGTAGGAAGACGAAAGTGATGAGCTCAGCTATAGAAATTTTTGCGGATATCATTGATGAGATGAGTGAAATCTGCACAAGCTGTTGGTAAGCTTTGATTTACAAAGACAATTAGGAGTTTAGCTTTTTCTTGAGCAGTTTTTTCAACAAACCTAGTGGGGGACATGAGTATGGGTGAGACAGAAAGCTGTATCCTGTCTTCTGTGGGGAAAAATAGAAAAGAAAAAAAAGAGGCAATAGAATAATTTCAGAAAGAATTCAAGAGGCGGCTTTCACCCAAATGAACTCTTTTGATAAGAAATAATCCTGCAAATATCCCGTATTTTTTTTTTTAAATATGAGAAGGAAAAGCAGCTCCCAGAGATGGTCCTGCACATCTCAGTAGTCAATAGACTGGTCTGATAGAGTAGCACACAAGCACACATAGCTGGTAGGAATGGACATATATGTACACACTGAAAACACCAGCTTAACAATGTTTTTCATGACAGCTATGTTTGAACTTGCTGAAATGTTAGAAAAATGCTGGGAATAAGGGAGACAATAACATATTGAAAATCTAGCAGTGATTCATTAAAACCTTGATCTGAATGAAAGGCGTCTTTATGTTCCAAGTCCCATTTCTGAGATACTTACACTTCTGTTTAAATTCCACCGTATGATAGAGATACCTGGATTCAGAATTTGCAAAGACTCACTGTTCTGTCAGGTTTTCTTCATCCTTGTTCTTTCATGCTCTTTTTGGAAAGGACATAAAGCCCTTCCTCCACTGGGGTTGCCAGTGCTTTGACCCAATGTTCTATTTCGACATTAATACAAATTAAATCATTTATTTCCATGCAAAACAAGCCAGAACCCCCTGCTGTGTCATTATTATGATTACAGCACTGGTCATAAGTGTATTAATTTCTCTTAGGAACCCAAACAGTCCTTACCTTTGAGGGTAGGGGGAATGTCTTGCAGAAGGAAAAACAAGGAAAAATAAGAAAACCAAAGCAAACAAACACCATCACTCCCCCCTTTCTTTTAGTTAGAGAAGCTATTTAGCATGCAACACATTTAGACAGATTCTAGCTGAGAGTCTCAGTGGTTACTTTTTAAAAATCAGCAAGCATTGTTTTGGGGGAGGGGGAGAAGCCAGCATGAGCCTAAAAACATTGCAGAAATTACTGAACTGGGAAACCACAGTCACAAAGGCATGGACTAAAATACAGACTGTGTGTCTGAGTCTCCTCCTGCTTGCTCCTTATAAATCTGGCAGAGGTCCCTCAACTTCAGCTCCTGATTCATGCTACTGAAGAGACAGGTTTGTGCAGATAAATGCAACTGTCGGTTTATTCAGAGCTGTGCTACTGAGTTACATGGAGTTATTCCAGATGTACACAAGAGATATAACAGAGACCCTGGCCTTTTCAAATGGAAATCACATCCCTCCCCCTGCCCACTGGCTCTCTTCGCTTCATCCATCCTGAAAAAATGTCCTGTGTGTCAGAGCTCCACTGTAGCAATGCATTTGAAAGAAATCAGGGAGCCTGTTTACATAGTACAGCTTGTTAGCTGATACTACAGACTGTTGTGTTGTGCATTGTTTTTTTTTATCTTCTGGTCATGTTCATCTGAGAAGAAGATGGCGTTTCTTCCACCACGTCCATCCTATAGACGTCACAGGGGCTGGACCAAAGAAGTCCTTGAAAAAACCTTTGTGTGAGCTTGTTCTGATTTGTTGTTGACATTTACAAGGTAGACATTGGAAACAGCTTGCTGGGCACACATCCTGTAAAAGGAGAGGAATAAGTCTAAGAACAACAGGGATTTGTAGGGGACGATGCATCACCCAGAGTGCAAATTTAACATACATCAGTGTGGAAAAAACAACCTCCAAGTGTCTCTTTGTCCCAGCCACAGTCTAGGATAATTGGCTGGGCTGTAGATGTCTTCAGTATAGATGACTGGAACTAGAGGAGGTAATTCTCATTTCTCATTTCTATATAGACAAATTGCCATACATCAGTGCCTATATACATGCAAAGAATTTAAAAGACGATTGGTGATTTTAGGTGCTTTTGTGGCATACAATTGTTGATAACTGAAAAGAACCTTATTTACAGACTGTGTGTGAGAAGGAGTTCCCTCTGAACATTTATCCCTTTTCAACTATTTTAAGTTGGGCATCTAAAGTGAGGTAACTCAGAAATACTACTTTTCATTTGAAAATCTCAGCCATCCGCCCCATAGGTTTTGGGGGATTTTAAGTTTCCAGGCTTTGTTGACAGAAGCAAAAATATGCAATTCTGTGCAAATTTGACACTCTATCTCTAAATTTTCTCTCTTCTCACCAGCTGTGCCACACATATTCTTATTGTTGGTTTTATGGGAATCCAGTAAAGTATTTTTCAACTGAAACATAATAAATACTATTCAACTGAAAATACAAGTTCAACTAAATTTCTAAACCAGACATCACTCAGCTGTTTTGGATTTCTCTCATGGTGTACCTTGATTATAGAATTTTAGCTCTGCCTCTTCACATTTATACATGTATACAGATTTCACTTTCCCCCCAGATGCTACCAGACTACCATTTAAATAACACAGAAGTTGCATTAAGATCTTGTAAGATCAGCGGTGTTTTATTCCTGTAAGCTCTTTCAAATTGTTTCTTGGCATCTAACAAATGCACCATGACAACCACTATTGAGAGTTTTGGCTGTTGTCCCAGTGGGAGGGAAACCCAAAAAAAAAGTAGACATTTTTCTGTGATTTTAGGTTTTCGAGAGAGAAGCATGGAGGGAAGAAGACATAGACAAATAAAAGAAATTATAATTGACAATAAAATTGTTAATGACTTAAAGTAGTGTAGCAGGAGTGGTGTGGTGTGACAGGGGAAATAAGATTTTTTTTTATCATTATTGTTTTTCTAGCTTTAAAAATACATGTTAATGTTAAAATACATTATGTAATCAGCTTTCTCTACAAATGAACGTCCAAATGCACCTCTATGGAATAAACTTCTGCAGAATACTTTGGTGGATCCAGAGTAAGATTTTAAATGCTGAGGTAGAAATCCCACTTTATTCACGATCACTCAGTCCCACTAGCTTAAAAAAGGAGTTGACCCCAACTGTTGTCCAGGACTTCAACCTTCTCAGATGAATCCTTACTCTTTGGTAGGACTTGTAGCCCTTTGACTGGAAATTCATTCCTATATGTGGATACAACCAGTCTCTAGTACATCCTGGTATACTAGATATGTGTAAGAATCCTCATGCCAGGGTCAGGAACCAACATTTTTATCTGTTAACCCTGGAAAAGTGTCTGAGACATGAAACTTGGGAATAACCATCTCTTACCCTTTGAGGTGTCCCTGTCTTTTTTTTTTCCCTTCCTCAGAGATGTTAGCTTAAAGGGACAATTTCACAGTTGTACTGTAGATAGAGAAACACACATAAAGACATTTTCCAAAATGTCTAAACTGTTTAGTAAGAGGTACGATTTAAATTGCCACAAAAAATGCTTATTTTGCTTTCAGATAAGCTGGGTAAAGGCTGTAAAAGAAAGCTACAGCTTTCTACAGCTACAGACTAAAGAACTACCACCTTTGAACTCAAATAAAATAATTTAGCTACAAGACTAACCTCCCACTCTCTGACCCCTTAAATTTTGTTGTAAGTTTATTAACATCCTTGTTATATCTTTATCTTTCTATTTCCTTCTCTTTCCCCACCCTATTCTTTCATTAACTGCTGCAGCTGCTGGGACATGAATGACAACACTGCCTTGTGGTGGGTGATCAAAGGTCCTGTGGTTGGATCAATCATGGTAAGTAACACTTGGAGGGGGCACTTCATGAACACTTCTGAGGACAAATAACCAACGCAAATAGCTTCAAATGGCTTTGCAAACTATGCTTCATCAGCTGTGCTGGACTACTGGACAGCTTGTCTGAATGTCCACCTCTTGCCATCCACAATTCCATTGTTATAAAGAAGGTTTAGTACAACTTTAGCACTGCCTGCAAGCAAAGACTGTGTAGAAAAGGAGCTATTCTGTTGCTTAAATATAGATACCAAATACCGTAAGTAAGACCCTACAGCATATAGCGCATTTGCCTGGGGCTGGTAAATATCATTGACTCATTTAGGTTGGAAAAGACCTGTAAGATCAAGTCCGACCATTAAACTAACACTGCCAAGTCCACCACTAAACCATGTCCCTGAGTGACACATCTACATGTCTTTTACATACCTCCAGGGATGGTGACTCCACCATTTCCCTGGGCAGCCTGTTCCAGTGCTTGACAACCCTTTCAGTGAAGAAATTTTTCCTAATACCCAATCTAAGCCTCCCCTGGTGCAACTTGAGGCTGTTTCCTCTTGTGCTATTTTTTATTACTTGGGATAGGAGACCAACACCCACCTCACTACAGCTCTTTTCAGGTAGTTGTAGGGAGCGATAAGGTCCCCCCGATCCTTCTCTTCTCCAGACTAAACATCCCAGGTCCCTCAGCCATTCCTCATAAGACTTGTGCTTCAGACCCTTCACCAGCTTAGTTGCCCTTTTCTGGACCTGCTTCAGCACCTCAATGTCTTTCTTGTATAGTGAGGAACCCAGAACTGAACACAGTATTTGAGATGCAGCCTTACCAGTGCTGAGTACAGGGGAGAAATCACTTCCCTGGCCTTGCTGGCCGCAATAGAGACTGTTTACCAAAACAAGGGTAGGTGATACTGTGACCAGCTTACTGGGTTTAAGAGGACCCTTGTTCTTTGCTGTAGAAGAAAAGTGACTTGCCTATTTGCAAAATATTTTTCCTTTGCAGTGAAGCAGATAGGATCAAATAATGTTTATGAGTAGCTTCCTGTACAATGGGAATTAATAGAAAGGTTATACCTTAATCCCAAAAAGCAGGAGAAAAAAACTACCAGTACAGTCAATTACAAAAGGAAGAAGGGGCTCCAGGGCAGCCACAGAGCAGGATTTTTTTTTGAATGAGTGCTATTTCACGACCAAAGGATGGGATTTATCTAACTCAGATGGACCTCACCCACTGCACAAGCCTGACACCTCCTAGAAAACTATCCTGTTAAGAAAGGCTTTGGAAAGATTCAGAAAACTTAAACAACAAAAATCATTTTATTTTTTCAGCAAAATGGCACTTACTCAGTTCATTTCACAGGAAGAAAAGAAACCAAACAAAACCACCAAAACAGAAAACAACAAAAACAAAACAAACAAACAAAAAAAACAACAAAAACAAAAAAAAAAAAAAAACCAAAAAAAAACCCAACCCACCCCATCCACAAACCCGTAATCAAAAATCTCTAGTATTTAATGCAGCATTACTTGCTGACGCCCAAATATATAAATTAACATTTTATAGGACAGTTTTCAAAGCCACTGAATAGTAGATGAACTTGGAATAATGTCTTCTTTTTATCTGACTTACCATTTCATCACAGTCTTTTTTATTGCCAGCATGACTGGTTTACTTGAGTTTTATCAAATTAATGTGAATCCTAATTTGAATTCTAAGAAATTATTTAACTGTGGTTTATAGAAACTACTTCTTTACTGCAATTAAAACTTTAAATCTTTTACATTACACTAATGCTCTATGAAGTTTGCTAATCTCATTCTATGTCCTCTATAAGGCATAAAACCACTGAAACTCCTTGAGAAAAGCCTCCTATTGTGAAAAAATATTAAAGTGATATTTAAAAGACTTTCTAGTAATGGTTAATTATGTAGCAGTAACTATGAAAAGGTCAGTAAGGCACATAAGTCCAAACACAAGATTTAAGATAGTTTTTAAATGATGAGTTGCTGTCTTTCCCATATAGTTTAAAAATACTTCACTGAAATACTTAAGTTTGGCTTTTTAAGCAATGCTGAGTACCACTGGATGTATTACATACAAACTAGAGGAGGCTGGTTCTCAAAAATGGCAACTTGATGTCAGATTTATGAATGAACTGTTAAACATAGGATGTATGGGAATCCTGTGACATTTGGGGTGGCAGCTGAAGGCTAAGTGGGGTAATAGAGGGCATCTAAAACAATAATAGATGCTAGTGACTAGGAAACTGGACTGTGCCCGTTGAATGGAATTCATTTCACAGCTACATTTGTTTATCTAATACTAGCTTTATAACAGTATGGTGGACATAGTGCAAGATTCTCAGTTATCAACAAGGTATCTAAGAATTCTGCAGTTGATGGAGGTCTTGGATTTTACTCAAATGATACAATATACCTGTGTATGGATGACTAAGAGGTTCTAAAGTGCCTGCCTGGGCTCCAGCTGCCCCAAAAGAATATGTGAATTTTAAAATGGTGTTGGGCTCCTCCAGTAAAGAAATATAATTTAGCCACCAGACAACATGGTTAGTGGCACCTGAAAAGCTGTTTGGCTTACCACACATAGATGTCTAAATCTGGGCATGCCAAGTTGCATTCCATACTCCAGTGACAACACTGGCCAGGTATTCATTGACTTTTGTTGAAATTTAGACATCCAGCTCACAGGTAACTATCTACATGTAGGTGTCATTCATTAGGTTTGGTTCTTTTAAGTATTTGCACAGCTTTCTAAAATACATTTCAGACACATTAAAGATAATTCAGCTAATTATACTGAAGGGTATCAATATGGAGAGGGTGCAATGGTATGGGTTTTTTGTGATATTGGTGTATTTGAATCACCATGCTTTGCAGACATATTCTATGAAGGATCACATTCTGCCTTTGGCGCATCACTTATACCTGGTTTCTATTGAAAGCATTAAAGATTCAAGCAACAAGTAAGGGATGACTGGGCTTCTCCATTCATTTCTAGTCCTCTGATCATATAGAAAATGCTTGTGAAAGAGATGCTCACAATATTTTACAGGAGTGAAATACTGCATAAGGGACCAACTTAAATTTCCCACTGATGCTAAGAAGCTATGAAGTCGGTCACAGCCAAATCTGAAGCCAAAGCATTGAAATAAAACAATTTTATTATTAGAATCATAGAATAGTTAGGGTTGTAAAGG